CCCCAAAACCCCAAAACCCCAAAACCCCAAAACCCCATTCCCAGTTTAGTTAATAAATAATATAAATTTAATAAAGCAAATGGAGAGCCAAGGGAGTGAACAAGAGAGTCAAGGCAGGTAAGGGTTGTTCTAATCACTTGCGGTTTAGCCTTCCTCCAAAAAATAATGCAATTGACTTCTTTAAATTTACAACTCATGATATGGACAAGGATAGCTTCTTGCCTGCCAAACCTCGTCCATCACATAAGCTGATGAACGAGGAAGGTGAAATTTATGACATCCGATTAGGAAGTAACAGGAGCAGAAGGAAGAATTCATCTAATCTACAAAAGTAAGCTTTCTCTCGCACGCTGTATTCCAGCATTAATTCAATATTTTCAGAGACAAAAGAGCATATTTCCGATCCAAATATTACAGAAAAACGCTAAAGTCACTTTCAAATGGAGTTGAATACTCATCTCCTTGGGAGAAGAACCCTCAAAAGCATTCTAATTTCTACTGAAAGTTGGTTCAGGTAATAATTCTATCAATTATCTTTATCTGACATTGCCCTAACAAGTATACCATTGCTCTACAATAACTAGCCTCTTTCCGATAAGCTACATCTCTCGCTACGAATAACAATTTACTATCTTAAAAATATCACCTGTGAATGCAATCCTGAGTATAGTCTAGTCTTAAAGAATTTTCCAATAAGTTCTAGAGAAATATTCCTTATTGAGCATAATTTATAGCTAAACGAGAGAATAATAGTATACAAGAAACTCTTCATGGAGACAAAACCATCTTTCTTGAAGAATATTACCATTCCAGAGTCTATTAGTGAGGTAAGCACCTATCCAAACTAACTCTTAGAGTTATGTAATTTAGAACCATACTAATGCAGCTTAAATTATTATAGAAATAAGCCTACCATGAGCCAGTGCAAGAAAAGCAGCTGTGGAACAAGACAGTCTAGACGAAAGCGCAAATCTATTCTGAAAAGCCATAAGTCAATCATCGGGTCCTCACGTAAGTCTGGGAAGTATATCAAGGCAGACTTGAATTTTATGGAGATCTATTGCAATTTTATTTCCAAAATGCCTTACTTTTCCTAATATCTCCAAAGAAATTCACTATGTTTTCACACATAATAATTAATGACTGAGTCAGACGATATGAAAGCTAGAAAATAAAGTTCTAAGGATATTGAGAATGTTTTAACATAAAGTTTGATACCATGAGGGTTCAATCTCGCCTACCCAATTCACAAGCAATCTTCATATTTCCTACCAAAGCACCCAATTTCTACAGATTTTTCTAATTTCCAAATCCAAAGACTAAAATTATAAATTCCCAAAATACAAAATTGATTATCAAAAGCTTCCTCAAAATCAGTTCTGTAACGTTCGGAATTTTAAAAATCCTGGGCTTAATTTTGAGCGTCTCTCTGTTTCAGCAAACTAAATCCACCTATAAATATAGGGTCAAATACAGCAAAATACCTCCATGAAAACAAAGAAGTACGAGTTTGCTAACATTTCGGTATAGAAGTACGCAATTAACGTCTCAAAGTTTGTAATAGACAACTCAATCGCAAGGTGAAAAGCATCTTACTCGGGTCTAACCTCAAACCTCAAGTATGTTTCACTTTATGATATAATTCCTAGTATATATAAAATAAATTTTAATTATCCTAACCAAGATTAGGCGAAGAATTTTGGGTTTCAGACCCTCAGGCAGCCATCGATTCTTGTGAAGAAGATATTTTTGAAGGGCATTGCTAGTTTCAATTCCGATTTAAACTATTCAAAATTTAGTAGTAGTTTTATAAAAACATTGATGGCAAGAATCGAACTCTACATATTTTCAAAAGTATTGCTCTTTCTCAATAGTCAGATCCTAAAAACAATATGGCTGGTATATAAAAATAAATGGAAAATTAAGAGAGTGTCTATCTAATATTTCTTAAAACTGTCACCAAATATTAAATATTGATCATCAAAAATGATTTATAGAGAGCCCTTAAACCCTAAAATTGTTAATTTTTCGGAAAATGTTAGTATAAATCTGCTATGACATTAGTCCTGAGCTTGCATTATCCTATGGAAGTGCTTCTATATGGAGGTTCTCAATATCAAAAATGATATTGATTTATCCCATTTCTTTTTGTGTTGAAATAAGTTAGTTTTATTTATATTGTTAATCATAATGCTTTAGAAACCGAATGCCAAGCTAACCAGACCAAATACACAATTGGAGCATGCTAAAGCTTCGAGAATTATTGAAGAACATCCTAGTGAAGAGATTGGCTACGACTGTAAGATTCAACAACTCATTTATAGCAAGCAAATTTGAGACTTCTATGGACGATGATGATCTCAAGACGCCGAAAAATATAGAACTTAAGGTTCCCAATAACTTTATCAAACCCATGATCGATTTTAAAGATACAAGAAATCTTGATGATGCCTCTATGAATAAGCCCAGTGTTTCTAGTGTGAAAAGCGAGAAGAAATTACCTGATATTATTAATCTCAAACAAAAACCATTTAGATTAAAATAAGAAGCCTGGTCATCAGCTCATCAGCAATGTCTTCATGTCTGGAGACTATAAGAAGGCTTTTCGAGGTAAATACCTCAAAAAGCATCCTCCTAAAGATCGGTATTCCAAGTTCAACTTCAAGAGACAAGGTATTACCGTGGTTCTCATCTTAATAGACAGAAAATCAACCACAGCCGATACCAAGGATATTCAGAATAAAGCTTCTCTCCACCGATCTCCTGATATGAACAGGATTTTAAGACTTTCCAAGCCAAGGCATGTTTCATGTAAGATTCTTCAAAAATATGCGTATAGCTGCTCCAGATTTAAAGCAGATTATGCCTGTCCCAGAACTTCCTAAACCCAATCCATTTGAATTTTCTAAGCTAAGGTCGATATATCTCTCCCTGGCCAAAGTGAAGTATCCCCGATATATTCTAAAACCTACTCAAATAAAAACCCAAAGAAATAACAGTCAGCGGTCAATCTGAGTTGCCAAATCACAGCACAAATGGAAAAGATATACTATGTAGTCTGTCACACTCCAGATCTATGATTTAAACTTAAAATCCTTAACTCTTAATGGTAAGAATAAGGCAACTGTCGTGGCTTCAACCAGTATGGGCATACTTCAAGAATGCCCTTACCTCCAAATTGGAGTTATGGCTCTTTATGTAAGTAAGTAACTAAGAAATTTTAGAAGATCTCGGCCAGACCTCTTCCAACACCAATAAATGTTCAATGGATTTTAAGTAAGTTAAGCTAACACATTTTCGAGAAAAGAACCATACCAATCTTGGTTCTACCTATTGGGGTTTTGGGGTTTTGGGGTTTTGGGGTTTTGGGG